GCTTGCGTCTGCACCACCACCACCACCACCACACCTCGCTTTACTCAGTCAGACACTCTCACACACCCGTCTGGCGTTTCTCCCTCGCTCGCCCCTCCTCGGATTCCTCTCCTCTCACCTTACGCTGTTTCTCCGACACCCCATCGAAACGACTTCTCCATCCATCCAGAATTGTCGACTCTGCGAACCGAACAGTACAGTCGATCCCAAAGCTCAACTGCATCGAGCGAACAAACCGAACATACCGACAAGACTGGAGGCCAGGCGAGGCGAGGCGACTACAGCGGGGCCCCAAGATGCCGAGATTCTAGAACACAATCTTGTGTTTCTCTTCTCTTCTTTCCTGTGTGTGCCTGTCGTCCATTCTGTCCCATCCGGCTTCAGCGTCAACAACACTCGTCCATTGCGACTTTATAAGCTGGTTCGAAACATGCGAACCCATCGCAGAGCCTCTCCACGACACCAGCCAGACGCTCCTCGTGCACCAAGACATGAAGCCTCTCCTTGCTATGGACACGGAAAACTCGCCCCTTCGCTACCACTCCAGGCTATGACATCTTCACGTCCGCTGCCGACCCCGAGTCAGACTGCTCGCTCGTTTTCCCGAGAACACCGATATCTTCCATCCCTTTCCGCCATGGACTCGGGCCGTCGGCGACCACGGCCACGACCGCCGCACTCAAGCTTCCCCAGCGCCGCCTCTAGCATTCTTCGCATGCTTCTCATCACTTTTGCCTGCCTACTTATTCAACCAGCCGCCGCCGTCTTGATCCCTTTCGACAACTGTCTTGACAGCTCCTACACACAGGCCGAGACCGAGACTGGCGTCCCTAATCTGCAATGGAACGCCCTCTATGTTGACGCTCGGTTCGACAACGAAGATCCCGCGCACAATCTTCAAATAATTGTCTGGGGAAATGTCACAGGCTCGTATACTGTCAAGACTAACGACACAGTCCCTAGTCCAAATGACCCCTCGTGGAATGACCCCTCAAGTACATTTGGCAAAATACTTGAAAGACCCGACGAAAAAAATCTCACGACTCTTCAGACCAGGGTAAACGTGTTAAGCTATCAGCCATTCTACAACAGAAGCGCGTTCTGTAACGACAGTCTTGTCAACGGGTCCTGCCCCCTGGCCCCTGTCTTTAAGACTGTGTAAGCTGCCTTCGTGTATGTCAATTTCCAACCAAGCTAACTAGACATCAGCGAGAGCCCGTGGGGTAATTTGCCGTCGGTAAACCTGACCCAGGACTTCAACTCTTCTTACGCCTTTTCGTCGTTCGCTTCGACGTTTCTAGTCCTGTACGGCAACACAGCCGCCACGCAGATCAGCTGCGTATCGGCAATCGTAACCCCTGATCTAGGCAGCCTTTCAGCACTTTTGCGCTACCTGCCACTCGTCGTTCTCCTCTTCGTCGGGTTTGCAACCATGTTCGCATCCGTCTTTAGCCCCTGGGGCTCGACAGATATTTTTCACTGGACGACAAACTACGGCCGAGACGAGGATTTGTTGCGCTTGGTGACACCGGGTTTCGGGGATTGTCTTCAGTACATTCAGTTTGTTGCGCTTACTGGTGGCTTGTCTATTAACTATCCCGGATTCTACCAGCCAGTTGTAAGCCAGGTAGGCTGGTCGGCACTGATGTTCAACGAAAGTTTCGTGAGCAAATCGCCAGGCTGGCAGGCGATCCAGGATGGTATCTATGTGACGAATGCCACATATGGACTTCACCGATATGCACAAATGATTGGTATGTCCGATGTCGAGGACATTTGGGCCGGTACAATGGTTTGGGTATGCGTCATTGTGGGAGCCCTTTTTGTTCTGATCCAGCTTGGCTTCTTCTTCCGTTGGGTATTTCGACTTATCAGCAACACTCCCGAGGAGGATCTCCGCGCCAAGAACATTCCGTTCTCAGTCGGCAATATCGTCCGGGTCGTATTCAACTACCTGCTACTACCAATTGTCGCCCTCTCGACGTTCCAGCTCGTTGTCGCCGGCCAGTCCCAAGAATTTGCCGTTGCGTTGGCTGTCGTCACTTTAATCATCTTGATCTGCTTCGCCGCGTGGTTGCTGTACTTGATTTTCAAGACCCGGCCGAGAGCAGTCCTGTTCGACGATCTGCCTACGGTACTCCTTTACGGACCTCTCTACAACACATACTCAGACGAAGCTGCGGCATTTGCACTGATACCGGTTATGCTGACGTTCATTCGTGGCATCACTATCGGGGCTGTGCAGCCAGTCGGCATTGCGCAGATCGTCATTCTTGCTATATGCGAGGTCATCTACATTTTGACCCTCCACGCATTTCGTCCTTTCCAATCCCCAACATCGATGAATGCGTACCACACCCTTTTCTCCGTTCTTCGTTTCGCTACCGTTATGCTGATGGTAGCGTTCGTTCCTCAAATGGGGGTGACAGAAGGGCCAAAGGGGTGGATTGGGTATACCATCTTGCTCATCCACGCGTGTGTCTTGGTTCTAGGATTTATGCTCAACGCCCTCCAGACAATCATCGAAGTCACCGCACGACTTCTTGGTGCTGGCGGTGATGACACCCGGGGTTTACAGCGAGGCGGCTTATCCAAGATTTTCGGCATGCGGCAGTTGCAGCGGCGCACTTCTCGACGAAACAATGGGCCTTCCCGAGCAAGTCAACTGTCAACTACCGGCATGCTTGACGCAGACGAAGCGTCGAAGACTGGTTATGTGATGCGTGGCGGTAGGCTAAGGAGTGAGTCGGCAGGCAGTGGATTTCTACTCAGAAGCCAGCACCGCAGCTCTTCCGCCCTTGACAGCATCGATCCCTATACCGGACAGATTCGGAACTTCGACAGTGGCAGCAATTTTACTCCGACAACTCCGGGTGAAGTCAGCACCTTCTCATTTTTACCGTCGCCTGCTGCTGCGACCCGGCCACCAGCTGCCGTGACGGTGGAATCCGCTGACCCTTATTACCGGCCTCCGCGACGTCGCGGAGATACACTGAATGGCTCATCCACCTCGCTGAACCGGCATTCAGTGGCCGAGTCGCGTCGGTATAGCCAAGCAGGCACACATTTAGGGGATGCTACTGCGGATCTTGAGGCCCAGCTTTCGAGAGGACCTACACCGGCCCCTCAGGCTATTAACTTGACGCCGAGGGCAGACTATTCGACGAGAGAGGTCGACTTTTACTACGGCGTCAGAGGCCCGGCGCTGAATTCGGAAGGGGTGGGCCGCAAGCTTGGAACCGGCCCAGCCGACCCTACTGGTCCGATGTCCTCGGCTGCTGGGTGGTTCCGCAATTTCTTTGGAGGCAAGACCAAGGAGAAGGGCAAAGGTTTTGAGGTCGTACGTAGCTCAAGGATGCCACCTGCTATGCGCGCAGCAGCCGACGCAGAGTACGAGGCTGAACCTCCACCGGAAGGTATACCTGTGGCCATGGGCGTCCTCAGGAACGGGCCGATCGAGTCTGATGACGACGAACCCAAGAACAAGGCGACTCAGAAGCATACCGATAACATGGAGAATGCCGAAAATTCAGACAACCTACTCAACGATGATGGAGTTTCAGTTGTGTCATCGGACTCGGAAATCGAGACGGTCAGCATTCCGAAGGTTTCTGACGTACCGCCTATGCTTCCCGGGATCGCGAGTTCGGGCAGTTTCAAGCTCCCAAGTCGAGTGGCGTCCAAGGCAAGCCGACAGGCGTCTCAGAAACACAGGCGCCAGTCAACGGAATCAGACATTCCTGAAATTCCAAGAAAAAGCTCGAAAAGGGATTCAGCCGTGCTCCGTGGACACTCACCCACGCCATCGTTCAACCTGATCCCGCCAACGTCACCCACGGGGCCTCTATCTGGTCCGTCTGATGGCAAGATGCATACGCCGGGCAGCTTAGCCTCGTCTCCAAACCCCGGTCGTCTTCCTTTTGAGCGTTCAAATTCTCACCAGAAACGTCTTTCATCCAACGGATCATCCATGGAAGAATTCAATATTCGTAGAACGCCAAGCACGGAGCGACCAACAAGTTACGGCGTGGTTGCACAACACAGCATCAGTCGAGTGGACCCTGGGTCGGACCAGCAGGTCGATCTCCTCGGCACCTCGGCAGAGCTCGTCGATGAACGAGGCCCTTCGAGCCGGAGCTCATCAGCGGAAGGACGGGCTCGTTAGCAGTACATCTCACTCCATTGTGCATTTCTTGCTTTAGTTCTTTAATTATTTTCATCAACACGGGGATCACTCAGTACACACGATATATAGATCCACACCGGCGGAATACTCCAAACCGCTGGTTACTGAGCAAAATGAATGTGGTTTGGGAAAGGAGTCCGGTTTGCATGATTTCAAGCGACGGCGTCACAAAAATCTGGACCAGGCTGGTATGTATTGGGCGGGCGGATGTTGTGCTTGAAAGATTTCTCAGAGACCTTGGGGAGGCTTAGGTGAGAACTGTATCTAGTCATTAGGCTTCCTCGCGAAGGTCAATAGTCCCAATGAAATAGCTCAATAATCGCTTGTGTCCTGGGCAACTCAATCTTGAACGGTCATGGGAGCAGGGCTTTTCAGAACCCTCATAGTTGCTAACGCAAACGCCCAGCAATTAGCAACTACCAGCTGAATAAGCTGTCTGACCCATGTCTCGGTCTAAAAATCCAGGTAGTGAAGCGGCGGCTTTCGGTGAATTCTGCTGGCCAGAACTCTGTGAACAAAAGTATTTCATTTGAGATGAGGTAATAATGTCAATGTCGGTCACCGGTGAAGCTTCGGTGTAGTATGGTTGGTTACTTACCTAGCTTGCCATCCCACTTGCTATCGATAAGATTGTGTGATAAGAATTTTTCGACAGGCCCAGTTGGAACCCACCACCAGCCCCAATGCATGCTCGCTCAACTCACTTCTCATCCATCATTCACACGATCTCTTTCTTTGATCCTGGACACATTGACACGTCGTTTCCCCTCCTCCAATCTCATTGACTCGGTCCAAAAGAACAACAATACCAAAAATGGCGCCAACTCGCCCAAACAAAAAGTCGAAAAAGAGAATCGAAAAGAAGCCTGTCAACCCCGCACTACTCCTCGCCGAGGCAGTCGCAAAGCTCCAAGAAGGCGATCTTGAGAAAGCGGCCGCGGCTGGAAAGAAAGCGCTCGATGGCACCGGCTCAGGCGGAGACTATGAGCTGGCGGCCATCAATCTTCTGGGACAGATCAGCATTGAGATGGGCGAGATTGACGATGCAAGAGCCTATTTCATAAAGGCCGTTGAGCTCGATCAAGACGGTTCTCTGGATGAGCGCATAGGCGGCGGACCCGAGAAGTTCCTCTGGCTGGCGCAACTCAGCGAAGACGGCGGCCAGGACAGCGTGAAGTGGTTCGAGCGTGGAGCATCGTCGCTCAGGGGCCAGATTCAGACGTTGGTGGACCTACCGAAGCGCAACGAGGAACAGGAGGCGCAGCTCGAGGAGAAGAAGAAGAAGCTGGGCGGAACACTATGTGCCGTTGCTGAAGTGTACATGACGGATTTATCATGGGAGGCCGATGCGGAGCAGAAGTGCGAAGCGCTCGTCACAGAGGCGCTATTGGTGGCACCCGATCTGGCGGAAACATGGCAGACTGTTGCCAATGTGCGGATATCCCAGGAAAAAACGGACGAAGCGAAGGAGGCTCTGAAGCGGAGTCTGGAGCTGTGGACTGACTTGCACCCCCTGGACCCCAACGTGCCCGACTTCTCCACGCGCATCAGTTTGGTGCGTTTGCTACTCGAGGTGGAAATGGAACAGGAGGCCATTGATGTGCTGGAGAGGCTCGTCGGTGACGACGATCAAAGTGTCGAGGCCTGGTACCTTGGCGGCTGGGCACTCTTTATCTTCGGCGAGAAGCAGAGAGAAAAGAAGCTGGAGAGCAAGGACGAGGAGGAATGGAAGGTCACATGGAGCACCTCGCGTCGCTGGCTGATGCGTTGCATGAACCTGTACGCCGCTCAGGATTATGAGGATGAGCGTCTGGGTGAACACGCCAAAGAGTTGTTCGCCGCAATCAACAAGGAGCTAGGCGACCCCCCGGCAGACGAGGAAGATGATGACGGTTGGGAGGACGCTGTCAGCGATGGTGATGAGGCTATGGAAGAGTAAATTACGAAAACGTCGCTCTACACAGAAGTCAATGATTAGATAGATACCTGGGGAACGAGGGACATCAAAGTGCGGCGTTTGGAGTCTGGCAACGAAAATGATATTGATAGAATCGTGTCTCCTCCTTTTCTAGAGGAAATTTTTCAATGAGGCATATAGATGAGGTCTACTACCCGAACCGCTTCAGTCCTCCTTAGATCCCACACTATGAACCCAAAACGCCAGTGTAATGCACCCTCCCCCCATTTGTAGGAACAGATGTGCCCCCTTACGCAGCTTCCACCTTGAGCTTTTCGACACCCTCGGTCAAACCGCCCTCATCGTCATCGTCATCAACTTTGCCGGCCAGGCCACGCTCCCAAAGCTGCTTCCCCGTCAGCTTCACTGGCTCCTTGACCTTGGCCTTCTTCAGCTCCGCGAGACGCTCCTCATCTTCCTTCTGCCGTAGTTCCTCCATCTCCTTGATGAAATCGGCACGCCACTTGAGGAAGGTCTCAGGCGTCACTGGGGTGCCCTGGAACTTCTTGTTTTCCTCGCGCTCGGCGGCGAGGACAGCCTCTTCGTGCTCCTTGTCCTTGGCCTGCTTGCGCTCCTCGACGAGGTTCTCGGCAGCTTCCTTCAAGGTCGTGACTAGGGTAAAGACCATTGCCATGCCGAGGTTCTCCTGTATCGTCTCTTCCAGCCCTTGGAGGAGGCGCTCCTTGTCTTGCGAGACGTTGAACCACTCGTGCGGGGCTGCATTGGGAGTGGACTGCAGGTCGAGCATCGGCGCCTCATCGGGGTAGGCTTCTGGATATCGCACCTGCAAGAGCATGGTGGGCGGCTCTTCGTCGCCGAGGACATCAAGGACGATTGATATTCTGTATTCGGTCTCCGAGACATCTGGCACCTGGGTTTAGCGACATGTGCGGCGAATGTGCCATGCTCAATGGTGGGGTAATCGAACCTGTGATCTCATCTGGAAAGATGGAATCGAGCACCTCGCGCTCTTCGACCTGCTCTTCGCGACCCATGATTAATACTGCAACCAGGGATCAGTCTATGGATGTTGCTGGGGAGGGATCGAGGTGACCTGGCGCACAGCTGGCAATGTTACGTCTTTGAGAGGTACGATAATAGTTAGTAGTAGCACGAAGCTGCTTTCTTAGTGGAGGCACGTACATGCATGGTAGTGGGGTTGATGATTGACTTGAGCTTAGCGCAGTGCTGACCGCCCGGCAATTCAAATAAAAATTTCAGATTTCCAGCACTTTGATGGGCGCTGTAAGCACCATCCGCCAGCCCATCCGTCCCAGTGTTTTCCGAGACAGAGAGCTCATACTTTGCGATTGCTTCTGTTCCCAGCACAACACTCGCACCTCACAATGGCTGCCAACGGTGTCAAGGCAGGCAGCAAGCGCAAGACAGCTCCCGCTTCCAAGGGCGCCTCTGACAGCAAATCGAAAAAGACCAAGTTCGAGAAGAAGGCTGCGCCCGTCGAGACCCCCGAGGACGACGAGATGGAGGATGCTGCAGAGTCTTCTGACTCTGACGATGGCGGAGTCAAGCTCAATCCCCGCGAGAGGGCGAAGCAGGCTCAGGCGAATGGCAAGAAGGAAGGCGCCAACTTCGACAAGAGCAAGCAGTTTGAGAAAGGTAGGCCACATAAGTCGGGACCTCTGCGATTGCGACTTGTACTTACAAACATCACACAGGACAAACTTCGAAGGAGTCCCATGCCATCCAGAAGAAACTCGCCCTCGAGCGCAAGGCCGCGAAGCCCCTGGCCGATGAAGTGCAACGAACCAAGAAGATTTGGGAGCGATTGAGGAGGAAGTCCCACGTGCCCTCTGAGGAGAGGAAGCAACTTGTCGATGAGCTCTTCAGCATCATCACCGGAAGGATTAAAGAGTTTGTCTTGAAGCACGACGCGACCCGCGCTGTCCAGACTGCGATCAAGTACGCGACAGCCGCGCAAAGGAAACAGATCACGAAGGAGCTACAGGGAACGTACGCCCAGCTCGCCGAGAGCAGATACGCCAAGTTCCTTATCGCCAAGCTGATCGTGCAGGCCGACGCTGAGATCAAGGAGATTATCGTTCCGGAGTTTTACGGCAAGGTGCGGAAGCTGATCAATCACCCTGAGGCCTCTTGGATCCTGGACGACATCTACCGTCAGATCGCTACGAAGGAGCAGAAGGCCATCATCCTGAGAGAATGGTACGGCCCAGAATTCGCCTTGCTGGAGCGCAATAAGGATGAGAAGCCGACATCTGATCTGTCCGAGATTCTCGAGGAGAAATCTAGCAAGCGCGGTCCCATCTTGAAAAGTCTTCACGACATGATCAACTCTTTGGTGCAGAAGAAGATGACGGGCTTCACTATGCTGCACGACGCTATGCTGCAATACTTTCTGAACATCAAGCCCGGCACCGACGATTTTACCATGTTCCTTGAGATGATCAAGGACGACGAGACTGGTGACCTGTTGAAAAACATGGCATTTACTCGCTCGGGATCTAGGCTGGTGGCTCTTCTCTTGGCCCACGGCTCATCCAAGGACCGTAGGAACCTGCTGAGGGCTTTCAAGGATAACTTTGTCCTGATGTCGGGTGACCCCTTTGCTCACATCGTGATTCTGACTGCCTTCGATGTTATCGATGACACGAAAATGACACAGAAGGCTATCTTCCCTGAGCTGATTGGCGATGACAAGGACAGAGCGACGGAAAACATCGTCGTTTCCACGACAAACCCCTTTGCTAGGGCGACGCTCTTGTATCTGCTTGAGGGCCAGTCCAGAGCAATCTTCCCTGCTAGCATGAACGAGGATCTTGCAATTCTGAACGAGGTGCACGAGATTCGCCAGACCACCAGTAAGAAGGATGCCGATATGAGGAGAAAGGAGTTGGTGGTTGCCATTTCTCCGGCTCTCATTGAGGCCGTGGTTTCCTCAGCACACACATTAGTTGCAGACCCCTTTGGTTGCCAACTTGTTGCTGACGTACTGCTATCTGCCGAGGGCGATAAGACGAAGGCCCTCGAGGCTGTTGCGGCTGTTGCCGAGGGTGATCCCAGCGCGGAGCCCATGGAGGAGGACGGCATTGTTACCCCGGTCCATGTCTCCCGCACACCATTTGGAGGTCGTCTGATCAAGACTTTGATCGCTGGTGGCAAGTTCAACAAAGAGACCGGCAAAGTCGAGGCTGTTGATCCACCATTGAAGTTTTCCGGTATCTTATACCCAGTGATCAAGGATTACATTCTTGATTGGGCCACGGGGCCGAGTTCCTTTGTTGTTCTCAACATGCTTGAGGCCGAGGACTTCAGCCACGCCTCCGAGTTGAAGAAGATGCTGAAGGCCCACAAGAAGGACCTCCAGAAGGCCGCAACGGAGGAGTCTGCGGAGCAAAAGGCGGACCGGGAGGCCAGGGCCCAGAAGGAGGCCGAGAAGATCGAGAAGGGAGCAAAGAAGGGCAAGAAAGGTGGTGACAAGCCTGTCGGTAATCTCGGCAGCAAGCTCTTGTTGGAGAAGCTCTAGGCGAGGTTGAATGCGAATGGGTTTGCGGAGCAAAAGAGAAACCAAAAGTTATTAATGTTGTTCAATACTCGCACGCATACGGCAGTGCGGCGACTCGGTGTGCGGACGGCGTCCAAGAGGTTCCCATAGCTGGGTGGCATCAATAGAAGGAGTTTGGTGGTTATCATCTTTGATCATTGAATGTCTCAGTTCCCACAGCGTTGCAGTTGGCTAACAACTTGAGATCGCCTGACTCAGATCTAAGGCCGGCGAAGAAAACGGGTCCAGATGCTGGCAAACTTCGTGGCTTTGGACAGTGTCTCAGGTATCTCCAGACGTAGAGGACGCAACGAGCGTGGTGCATTTAGCCTCCAAGTTTGTCCTACAGTCTGTTTCCGTCCATGACTACCGCCCTTACGTCGTTGAATGTTGTAGCGAGTTGACCTCGTCAACCACAAGAGCATTGATCCGGCAACAAACATATTCCTTACTCTGAACACGGCCAAGTGAGAGGGCCAACATCGTCAACGTCAACGCCATGAGCATGAAATCCAGCCCACGAACCGCTATAGACGGGACGAAAACCACTAAAGAGGATTCGTGAGTTGATTCCTGCAGTGTTGACCCGATGATCCGTCCTATCTTGGCACAGGTTCCCCAAATGGAGGCGATGAGGAAGCAGAGGCATGGCCAGTGAATGCTCGAGGTGTACAAGTGAATGATACGAGGCGGCGAATAATCAATCGGGTCTGATGGGATTGTCAAATCGCGGCCGTGGGTGGACAGTTCCTACCTAGGACGATAAGAAGCACAAGCTGGACAAGGACTCCTTCAGTCAGGGAAGGTAGGTAAGGGGCAAGTGACACTATCCCATCGTGCCTTCCTTTCATACCTGAGTGACGACACCAACCTACCGCCGTCCAATCCTCCCCGTCTGCTCACCTGACCCCTTCCATTTTGCTACCCACCTGAAAAAAAATCCAGCTAAGCGGCCTCCAGGCGCTGTTGGATCACGCCTGGGCGGCTTTTTCCAACACGTTGGCAACCCGATCGTCACTCTTTTGGCCCAGGTAATTTGGATCCATCACCACTTCACCCATTTCCACTTCGCTGCCGTCGCTCTGTGATGGTGGCACGAGGTGCTCTCATACTTTTACCAACATCAATTTCTTCTCGTTACTTGTAACTATTCGCTCACCTCCACTTATCAAGAACAGCAGCAACCAACATGCGGCTTGCCCTCATTTCGCCGCCTCAGGCCCAGCAAAAGGCACGCGACGTGCGCAACGCCTGCCTGGCCGGGGAGGATCTCTTTGAATGCCCTGGCGGTTTCAAGGGTTGCTGTACCTCCAGCCCTTGCGGTAGCAAAGTCTGCACGCGCAGCGGTGAAGTCACCGACAAGAAGACGACGACCATCGCAGCTGTCGCCCCGCCCGTCTTGGCCTCGTCGACCCTCATCATTCCAGCGAAGACCCTGCCCGAGAAGCAAGTCGGCGTCACC